TAAACAATGCCTGCGCTCGGATCGTATTTATCGGGGTACCGGTTTCCTACACTACCGCCCAAAAAAGCCCGGGGCACTTAATCGCACGCTACAGAACGCCGTCGGACGTGCCTGATTAAGGTTAGTGAACGCCTTTAAAACGCAATATTATGCATAGTCTTTCTCAATGTTTAAAACGAACGCAGGCGCTATAACGATAACCGGCAAGCCCGGGGCGCCAAACCGCACACTGCAGGGGAACACCTGTGCGAAATTAATTGTTTCCATTCAGGAACCTGTTCAGGGGTATTCTCGTCAATTCACCAATGTTTTATAACACTCTGATAAACGGTTTCGAACCACACCCGACTTTAATTTTTCAATATACCGAATATAGAGAAAAATCGCACCATCGCCGGGCGCCGGACAAGCAAAATTTAAAATAAAACCTCAACTGGAGTGCTCTAATCACCTCCCCAAAGTTGACGGCGATCGGATGAACAGTTTCAAACCGCATTTTACTTTTATTTTTTGTAAACCATATATATAGAAAAAGCAAATCTGTCTACCGGGGTGCAACCCTTGCGAATTAATTTTTTTTTACGTCGAAACCTCTCAAGTAGTATTCTCAAAAAATTTCGCGACGATAGGATGAAAGGTGTAGTAAAGCATAAAAGACAGACACACACACACAAACATACATTGCTTTATATATATATATATATATATTAGGCATGCTGCCCAGCTTTGCTTAGGCTTTCGAAAACATTGAGAATTTGAACGCTTAATTAGTTCGCCCGAGGGTCGGTCTACGACCTCAGGAGTTATGAAGAGGCTCCTCCGTGGACATTTTTTTTCGATTTATAGCTCATATAAGGCGCCGGTCAGTCGAGGTCAGTTTTGACCCAATCATCGTAGACTTTTCGGCCAACCGGCCCCCGTGTTCTGTCGCCCCAAGGCAAGATCCTGCCATATTTGAAGCGCCTGCGGCGCCGAAAAGTGCACTATCGGGCACCCAACAACTTTGCTTTATATATTATAGAGGTTAGCAAATTGCATAGATAAACTAAGATTTCAATAAAGTAATTAAGGCCTGAAATACTTTAGTATAGAAATGTATTATTTGAATAGATGAATCTAGAATATCTAGATCTAGAATCCAAATAAATAAAATAAATTTTATGAGTTTAGGCCGGAAAAATTGTATTGTATACATTTCATAGTGTACGTAGATCTAAATCAAATTTGAATGAAATAGTTCAATGAAACACGGCAGATGACGTCATTAGTTAATGTATAAGCAATAGTGACGTCACAGTTTTATGCGTTCTTTTTCACATCTATTAATGCTTTTCCGGTTGCATAAATAATACTGTTTCTCTACATTCGAATACGCCTTTAATTTTTATTTTTCTTCTTTAAAAAAAATTGTGGTTATACATTTAAAACATCTAACATATTATTTTCAACAAAACTTCCGTATAAAGTTCTCCATATATCGCTGCCGTTTCTGACGTGATGTCCGGCGAAAATATTTTGCGGACAGACAGAGAGAGAGAGAGAGAGAGAGAGAGAGAGAGAGAGAAGTGCGCACATGGGGAATTATATATATACTAGGCATGCTGCCCAGCTTCGCTTAGGCTTTCGAAAACATTGAGAATTTGCATGCTTAATTAATTCGCCCGAGGGTCGGTCTACGACCTCAAGAGTTATGAAGAGGTTCCTCCGTGGACATTTTTTTTCGATTTATAGCTCATATAAGGTACCGGTCAGTCGAGGTCAGTTTTGACCCCCTCATCGTAGACTTTTCGGCCAACCGGCCCCCGTATTCTGTCGCCCCAAGGCAAGATCCTGCCAAATTTGAAGCGCCTGCGGCGCCGGGAAGTGCCCTATCGGACACCCGACAATCTAGATCTAGATCTAGATCTAGATTCCTAAAAGAATTTTTTTTTAAGTTTAGCCCGAGCATAATAAAAAAAAATACATTAACTAAGTTGACTTGGTGTGTCTCGAACCCGCACTACCTGCGTGGTTTAATGTACACTAACATCTTCGCTTTATAGGCACCTTATAAAATACTGAGAATGAAACACGTATTTTAAAATCTTAACTTACGCGAATATGCCTATTCTTTCAAATTAATTTTTTTATCCCAAATTAGCCAGTTCCAAACAAAGATTTTGAATAAAATAAATAAGTCTTGAAATAGTTTAGTCCTAATATAGAAATTTATTTTTGGAATTGATTTTAGAGAAGTTAGAGTCTAAATCTAGATCTTAGCGTCTAAGTCTAGATCTAGTTATTGCGTAGATTTAGATTTAGATTTAGTCTAGATCTAGAATCTCTAGATCTAGAATCCAAATACATAAAATAAATTTTATGAGTTTAGGCCGGAAAAATTGTATTGTATACATATCATAGTGTACGTAGATCTAAATCAAATTTGAATGAAATAGTTCATTTCTTTTCATTCTAAACACGGCAGATGACGTCATTAGTTAATGTATAAGCAATAGTGACGTCACAGTTTTATGCGTTCTTTTTCACATATATTAATGCTTTTCCGGTTGCATAAATAATACTGTTTCTCTACATTCGAATACGCCTTTAATTTTTATTTTTCTTCTTTAACTAAAATTGTGGTTATACATTTAAAACATCTAACATATTATTTTCAACAAAAGTCCGTATAAAGTTCTGCATATATCGCTGCCGTTTCTGACGTGATGTCCGGCGAAAATATTTTGCGGACAGACAGAGAGAGAGAGAGAGAGGGAGGGATGTGCGCACGTGGGGATTTATATATTAGGATAAGCATGCTGCACAGCTTCGCTTAGGCTTTCGAACACATTGAGAATTTGAATGCTTAATTAATTCGCCCATATAAGGCGCCGGTCAGTCGAGGTCAGTTTTGACCCCTTTATCGTAGACTTTTCGGCCAACCGGCCCCCGTGTTGTCGCCCCAAGGCAAGATCCTGGAAAATTTGAAGCGCCTGCGGCGCCGGGAGGTGCCGTATCGGGCACCCGACAACTTAGCTTTATACATCATCTAGATCTAGATCTAGATCTAGAATCTCTAGATCTATATGATCTAGAATCTCTAGATCTAGATGATCTAGAATCTCTAGATCTAGAATCCAAATAGATACAATAATTTTTTTAGGCCGAGAAAATCGTAATTTATAGGCTACATTTCATAGCGTACGTAGCTCTAAATCATATTTGAATGAAAAAGTTCATTTATTTTTATTCTAAACTCGGAAGATGACGTCATCAGTTTCGTGCTCTTTTATAGTGTAAACAATAAGCGACGTCATTGTTAAATGTGTTCTTGTCCCAAGTTTATACACTTTTCCGGTTGCATAAATAATACTGTTTCTTTATTTTCGAATACGCCTTGATTTTTTATTTTTCTTCTTTAAATAAAATTGTGGTTATACATTTAAAACATCTAACATATTATTTTCAACAAAAGTCCGTAAAAAGTTCTTCATATATCGCTGCCGATTCTGACGTGATGTCCGGCGAAATTTTTTTTGCGGACAGACAGAGAGAGAGAGAGAGATGTGCGAACGTGGCCCATTATAGATTTACATATATATAAATATAAATATAAATATAAATATAAATATAAATATATATATATATATATATATATATATATATATATATATATATATATATATATATATATATATATATATATATATATATATATATATACTAGCTGCATATCAGTGCTCCGTGACATTTTGAAAAATGTACCAACATGGGAACATAACAAAACTAAACACAACACAAACACAAAAGAAAACACAAACACAAAAGAAAAATAAACACAACACGAACACCCAACAAAACAAAACAAAACACAATCACTATGCAAACCCAAATAAAACACAAACGCAACACACAAACAAAAACATAAAAGAAAAAACAAACACAGATGAAAACACAAATGAAAACAAGCACAAACACAATGCAAATACAAAAGCAAACATAAAAGCATAGTGCTCACAGACTAGCCCGTGGCATCAAATCCCACCATGTCCAAGCGCCGGCGGACGCGCCTAATTCAGTGAAAAACTATAAAACCCCCAGCTTGTCCGCAAACCGAATGAAAGAAATAATAATTATTAAACAGTACGTGCAGTGTATAAAATAAATAAAAGGCAGTATTTTAGATACCCGTGTTTTCCCTACCATATTGCACTTTATCAATCAATGCATTCACATAACGTTTTTTATTAAATTTTTTTCAGTACTTTAAATTAAAAAAAATATAATAGATTTTAAAGACCAAAACCATTGCGCACTTAATGAACGTGATGACGCGTGTATAATAGTGCGGAATATTTTCTTAAAAATTATAATTAGTAAACGGTACGTTCAGTGAATAAAATGAATAAAGGATAGCCTTTTATCAATCCATGCTAATTATAATATTCCAATAATAACGTCCTGTTACACGTCTGCAGAATGTGCATTTACATTTTGCCAATTACATTATTCCAACGATACTTATCTCTTGCACTTCTGCAGATTTTCATTCGCATTTTATTTTATTAGCGTGAGTTGAATTTATTTAAAAAAAACAACTGCTGCCTTGTAGTTTGTTCTTGGTTGGACAAAGGCTATGGAAGCAAATCCAAAAAGAAAAGCAGGCTGAAATCGGAGTCAATGGCCTAAATGGCGCATAACCAGTTGACACGTAATCCTTAATTGTGATGGAAGCATGGTCTAGTCGGCAAAGCTCATGGTTGATAAATTCGAAAAAAGTCTCGAGTTCAAACCCTCTGGCAGATAAGGCTCGATCCCTCCCAACACTAAAAATTAAGAACGAAGAAGAAAAAGAAGAAGATCACCCCTGGCATAACTATTAAATACTTTATTAAAAAGTTTTTTCGTCATTTCTGATTTCTGTTATTAAAATGTATCCTCTTTTTCTCGAAATTATATTTGACGTTGATCCGTTTAATATGTTTTAGCAATGGGCGTGTATTTATTACTTTCTTTACGCTATGCAAAAGAGTAAATACTGTGACAACTATAAAGAGAGAGAGAGAGAGAGAGAGAGAGAGAGAGAGAGAGAGAGAGAGAGAGAGGAATTAAACTATTTATGGATAACAACCTTCTGGCAAGTTACTTTAAGTTATTTATCTCATTTTGGCAAATGTCCAATCGGGCAAGTGTCCATTCCGGTGCTTGTCGCATTCAACCAAGTGTCCATTCGGTAAAACGGCTTTCGGGAAAACCTCCGACTATCGAGTAAAATAATTTGTTTTATTTAATTATAAATTAAAAAAAACAACTAGTGATTAAATACATTAATAATAAAAGTTGATTTTTTTTAACAGACAAAGTTTTATCGGATGATTTTCCTAAGGAATTTACATTAGAAGAGCAGATAGGACAAGGAGCGTTTGGTACTGTACATCTTGTCATAGATAAATGTGGAAAATATGAACACAAATTCGTCGCCAAAAGAATTGACTTAAAGAAACAAGAAAATATTGTAGGTTTAATGAAACACTAGTTTTATTTAGAAAATGTTGTATTCTACATCTGTATTGTTCAAAATAGCAAGTTACAATATGCATGCACATATATTTCTTAACGCATAAATGCTCCATATTTTATTCTTTTAAAAAAAATTTGTTTTAAGAAAATATTTACTTTAATGAGAAAGAAATTATGTGTTTAAAATACCATTTTTATGACCCTACATATAAAAAAATAATCAATTTTTCCCGATCTAATAAGCGCTCTAACAAAAGTTTTACATCCTTCATCATATTGTATTTAGCATCATTAGAAAGCTTGACTTTTTATGTGTTTGATTATCCTAATTTCCATCACCTCAGAAACACCCAAAGCTTACAATCCGCTTTGTAGTTTACACATATATGGTATTTTCGTTACCTACTTTTCGTTACTTTTAGCTGTTTTTCTCAGTTCTCAAGTTTTCAATACTAAAAAGCCTAATACTTTTTTATTTATTAAACAATGCCAACCATATTTCCAGTAATTTTTCTTCATGCAAACATACAACTGTTGTCGCGAGGGAATTGTGACGGTTTTCATAGAAAAAAGTTTTTGATAATTAATATGCACATTTCTAAAAAAAATATGGATACTACAAAGAGTAATATTTTTTAGACCTTGTGAAAATTCTTACTAGTAGCTATTTCAAAAAGTTGTCGTGACAAAAGTTTTAAAATATACTGAAATATAAGCAGTTTAAATTTTATTGTTATTAGAGCATAAAGAAAAAAAGCCTTAACATTTTAAAAGTACCAAGAAATTCAAAATAGGGTGATTTTTTTTGGGTTTCCATGACAACCAAAATTGTTTTCAACCCTTTTTTACTGTTTCATACTTACTTTCACGAGCCAAACATGTTAATAGTATTCAAAAGGCTTTAGATCTTCAATTGTAAAACATAGAAAAAATAGCATAGAATTATCCTCATAAAACGTGCTTTTAGGAATCAATCATTCTATATAAGCACTGGTTGATCTCGATGAAGTGTAAGGTAGTTGAAAAGTGTGTGCGATAATTTAATGCTAAAATTAATAAAAAGTTGTTATGAGATGTGTTTTAGAAATAATATATCTTTTGTAATTGAATGCCTCTAAATACATGAATTACATAACGTTAAATAACATTTGTTACAGGTAATCCGTAAACGTGAAGCAGAGATACTTATGAAGATAAGACACAGGCGGATCGTTCAATTTCATGGATTTCAATGTAAAACAAATGAAATTTTAATTTTCTTGGAATATCTCACTAAAGTAAGTATTTAATTCTGAAGTTTAATTATTATTTCATATTAAGGGGTGGCGTTGATCGAGACAAACGTCCTGAGCTTGGGTTCACAGCTGCTGAGGGCTATTAGCTAGGAGAAGCAATCATGTAGGAAATACAACTCTACAATAAAACTCATTTCTCCTTGCAGATTGTTTTTGGGTTCACGTAGGCTATGGAAGCAAAACCAGAAATAAAATGAGGCGACATTTTTGAGTAAATAGGCCATATACCGAATAACATACTGACGCGATAATCATAAATTAAAAATAAGAACGAATAATAATTATAATTAATGTGATATGTTAGTGATTATCAAGCTTTATATTTTGTTATCACAACCTATTTTATAATAAAGTATACTTTTGTTTTAATTAATAAACACTTTTTTAAGACAATGTAGATTAATTGTATAAAATTTGCAAAATCAATATCTGAAACTAAAGGAAAGTGCATAATTTTAAAAAAATATCACATTTTATCTTTTCCAGGGAACTCTTGCATCATTTATTTCACGCAGTGGGAAACTTGGTGAACAGATTACTCGACATTTTACTATTCAAATTTTGGACGGTGTCGATTACCTGCATCAGAACAAAATTCTTCATAGGGATATCAAAGGTAAATTTAGTAAGAACAAAAAAAATATTCCTTCCATCTACTAATAGCAATTAAAAAACTACTACTCAATGATTTGATACGTGTTGAAATACAACAGCTTTTAAACTTCTAATTATATTCCGGAAACAGTTAAATTTGAAAATGTCATATCTTGATTTGTCCGATCATTCGTCAGGTAACAACATTTTAATGGAAGACGACATGAACATCAAGATAACAGATTTTGGAATTTCTGAATTCATTGAGGGCGAAGGAGTGTCAACAGAGATAGGAACAGTTCGCTACATGGCTCCAGAAGTTGTATATACTGAAGGTGGCAAGATTATAAACTACACCAGCAGAGCCGATATATGGTAAAATTTTAAACTTATTATAATAATAAATATTCATGATAAACATTTATAGCATGTTTAACAAGTGCTGAATTTCGTTAAGTTTGAAATATTTCAGTGAGACGCGCAATTCACTACAGCTATCATTCATAGCGCTAACTTTTTCGTGTTGTCTTATTTCGCTACACATATTATGCTATTAAACTATTCAGATAACCTATAATTGGAATTTAATCTGTCTTACTCTGTGATGGATTTAGTGGGTTTTTTTTTCGTTTGTTACGCCTTAGAATGCATTTAAGAATCATTGTGAACATAGAGTTCTCTTTTTTTACAGGAGTGTTGGCTGCACTGTTATAGAAATGTTGACAGGAAAACCACCGAACTCTTCAGTTCCTACACCTCTTGCTATTTTTAGAACTGCTACAAGTGAACCACCGCATTATCAGCTTCCTCCATCATCCTCTGTTTACTTACAAGAATTTGTAGACAAAGTTTTACAGAGAGAATCTAATCAAAGACCAACAGCCGGCTGGCTATTGAAATACGATCCGTTTATACTTGGAGACCATTGTAGAGATGATAATCAGGGTCCCTTCAATTGAAAAATTGAAATTGGAGTAGTATTGACATATGTAGCCTATAATGCCGTTCATTATATAATTTAATTTTGCAGTTTAAAAACACAGGCCGGGATATTTTGCATTATTTTTTGCGTGTATTACTCTAATTCCTGTCACCGGTGATACGCGAGCTGGTATGTAAGTGGAGAGACGAACATCCATGTAAAAGTTTGTTTATATCGTGTAATAAATTTAGTTAAATAAAAACGTCTTGTGGTGTAATGTAGGTTGTACAATTTGGGATAGTTTATGAGCTAAAAGAAAGATCGCTTAGCTTGTCAGTTGGAAAAATTTTCAGCTAGCAAAATGGAGAATAAATATGTTTGTATTCGATAAATCATTAGTATAGACATAAGAACAATATTTTTCAGGGCTAACTTTGTTAAATTACTATGGGAAAATTGTTTATGTTATATTTATTTATAATATTTATGTTAGAGTTTACAATACATAATACATCTTTATGCAACTAGTGTAGTTACAAAAACAACGTATTTGGTTGTCAACAAGGACAAGGTCAATGCCAAAACAGAAGCGAACTATGTGTAACTAGTGGTAAGTTTTATCGACACGATAAATAACAACGAAATAGTTGTCTGTAATCATGGACAATGCCAAGGCCAAAACGGAATCGAGTTAATATGTAACAACTTGTTTTGTAACCAACTCTATAGACAGATGGACTAAATAATACGTAGTTCCTTAGCCGTGGACGAATACCTATGTGAGAAGGGGCCGCACAAGACCTAACAAAAAACGTCATGCGTGTGGTAAATGTTTTTAAAATGACGTAATAAACTATAAATATAATTATATTATAAATATATTATTTTTAATTAAGTACTTTTATACATGCATTATAAATTCAGTCTCTAGGTAACAAGTATATATATATATATATATATATATATATATATATATATATATATATATATATATATATATATATATATATATATATATATATATATGTAGAGAGAGAGAGAGAGAGAGAGTTAGAGAGATATATATATATAGATAGAGTTACATAGATATATAAAATGTTTGATTATTTACGTCCTAAGTTGTTTTTTTAATAATGTTGATATCAGATATTAAATTTGTTTTAAGAAATATTTTGTAAAATCTTAGTTTTAAGAGTAATATGTTTTAATACTACTGTTTTATTATTTTGTGATAGCAAATGCGAATATAATTGAGCACGACTGTTAACCATCAGTTGCGTGTTTTACCCCGCATTTCACTCACTATCATTTCCCAGAATTATCCCAACTCTGATTGGTACCAACTCTTGGTAAGGAAAGTAAACGTGTCTTTCCACACAAAAACGTGAGTCGACACATTATATATTGAATACATTTGTTAAAATTGCATACGCGATGCACGTTTTTATGTCCAAATATTTTTAAATAATAAATATGTCATATTCAGAATATGTATCTGTAACGGACACCTATCTACCAGCCAGATAGATGGTGAACGCTCCCGGATTCTTTCTTGGGGTTATATGCAAATGACCTAAAGCCTAAATGAATGAACACTAACTCAACAACACACTAGGGCTCGATTTCGAGGTCTAGGGAAAACTAGTGAAACTATTGAAGTTAACAACTCATTCAATCTGCATACAACCTTTAATAAGTGAACACAGTTGTGGCAGAACACTAGGTTAAACAAGATAAAATATTTAGTTTAGAAATAACAAAACCCAACTTACAAAGCGTAAGAATAAATACTGTCACAGATTCTAACACTTTATAAAGATAGCCATAGGTCGCATAACACTGCTATAGCATCAAGAATCACTTGGCCACAAGAAATATAATACTAGAATACTTAAACAACTTAAGAATGCATAGCACACTCAGGACTTAAGCTCTCTCACGTTCAAATGGTCAAAATGGACTGCCTGGTCAAAATTGACTGCCTCGAGATACCTGTGGGCGATCTATTTATAGACTTAGGTAACATGGAAGGTCACCTTCAGATCGTAAGACCATTGGTTGAGGTGGTCATCTGGTCTGAAACAATCAATCATCTCTCGATTGAAAATTACTGAGTCTAAGACTCTCTTAGTAAGACAGCGGAAAAAAACCGGTTGTTGCACCATCAACCATATATGGTATTATAACAAAAGTCAAACTAAAAATAAAACATTACTAGACCTAAGTAGGTCACATATCACATAATATTTGTGGAAAACTATGTTTCAGCTTTAATATGTTTTAATACTAGATTTTTTAAGTTTTAATTTTAAAAGATGGCTTGTTAATTTCATTTTAATTTCGTCTTTTAAGTTCATATGTAAAAGATTGCTATTATAATTGTTGTATCACTTTTTAAAAATAAAAACAGTATAATATTATTACACTTTAGGTGTCTCAATATTAAATTGATACTTGTATGTGTATATAAATTACAAAATGATAGAAGACAATTTTAGTAAAATTTAATCTTAATTAAAAAAAATTGGCATCATGTTTCTAGTGGGCGGAACCATTCACCAAACACGTTGGGAAAGTTTAAGTTCTACCTGAAACACCTTTATATTAGACAGACTTATCCTTGCTATTTCCTTGCTCCTTAACCTGTAATCTGGCCCTATCTAGTTCTACCTTTGCTTGTTCCGCAGCCTGAGCTCTAACTTTTTCTAATTTTAATTTTGAAGCTTTTAATTTAGTAGGACATGCAGATAAGTCCTCCATAAACCTTAATTATTAACTCACCCAGGTTGTTTTTTTACTCGACCCCCCCCCCTAATCTAGACATTGTCCCAAGTCATACAGCCTCTTTGTCTGCTCGGCACTTTAAACAAAAATAGTTTCAGCTAGATTGACTACAATGCTGTCAAGTGATTGTGCATGATGGCGTAAGACTGATAGGACTGGTACTCCGCTGCCTACCACGTGCTATGATTTTAAGAGTACCGATTGTATCAGTCATACGGCAATAGTCACAATCACTTGACAAGATGCGTGCATTTAGTTTCTAGTTTATTTATACATATGGCTGCACACTAAGTTGACGGAAATAAACAATGTTTCCATCTTCCAGATGTGGATATCAGATATCACACACCACCTTTCTCACAATTCTTGGACGAACTTAGTCTCCCATTTTAGCCACACAGGTCATACTTACACCAAGACGATCAAGACAAGGACTAACTAACACCCAATCCACAACAACCAGATTCTATCAAAAGACGGCTTTGTTTTTTTTTCCGCATCACACTTCCGAGCGTTCATTATTCATGCGCTCTAATTTACGGAATTACGGTTATAATTTGTAAAAAAAACGGTTACCAACAACAATGTATGTATGCAACAAAGCAAGAAAATTTGTCCTAGTTTAATGAAAACAACATTCAAGCAATTTATATTATTGATAAGGTGTCGTTCATAAATGACGTCACACTCGTAGGGGGGAGGGGGTTCCGTAACTTTGTGACGGTGTGTGATGAGGGGGAGGGAGGAGTTCAGATCGTTCAACGTCACACTTTTGCATTATAAAAAAGCAATGCTAGAAAACGAATTTTAGACGTTATTTTGCGTTTTAGAAAACTGTTTTAATAGGAATTGTTTTAAAATACTATATTTTGACAGAGTTCAGACAAGATTTTTGAAAAGTTTCGATGTTTAAAAAAAAATCAACTGCAATTTTGAGGGGGGTTCTCGACTGAGGGGTGACGTCTTTTTAGGGGGGGTCTGGCTTTTTGTGAAGATGTGTGACATAGGGGAAGGGGGGGGGGGGGAGGTAAAAATTGTCAAAATAAGCGTGACGTCATTTATGGATGACCCTAACAGTTTTTTTATATAAAAATGAATGACCCATGGCGTTGCGAACAAAGTAAATCAATCAATGCTTTAGGTTTAAAGATGATGTAAAGATATCAGCACTTTGTATTCGAGTACACTATCAGCTATTTGTTGATACACAAGTTATACCTTTTGATTGATCAGTACTCTAGTTAAATGTAAACAATGTCAACACATGAATAGGGCTGATTTTTTTTTTGCTTTGTTGAATGAAAAACTAAAAGGTAGCTTGACCACGCTCCAATAGGGCGAGAGAATACGATCCGGCTTGTCCCTTTCTACATGCTTTAGTTCACAGCTACTTTTGCTAAGTCCCTTTTTACATGCTTTAGTTCACAGCTACTTTTGCTACGTCCCTTTCTACATGCTTTAGTTCACATCTACTTTTTCTACGTCCCTTTCTACATGCTTTAGTTCACATCTACTTTTGCTACGTCCCTTTCTACATAATACATACAGATAGTTTTTTATTCTTAAATTAATAAAATCAACTTAGCAGTTTTATACATATTGATATGACCGATTGCATGCAGTAAAATAAACCAAAGGTAATAATGAAAGGTATGAATCACGCTAATAATAGAGGATTGCCTTCACTCCTAGAAGAAAAAAAAATCCTCAACAATACGTTTACTTGGAAATTGTCGATGATTTTTTAAAATTTCAAAATGACTTGATAAACTATACCCTTAACATGTATTAAACAATCTTTTATATACTAATGTAGCTTTTTAGCCACTTACGAGGTAGTGTCTTTGGCGGATATAAATGCTAATATGTTCTTTAAATACTATATGATAAAACATAAAATATACCTAATATTGCATATTAATGAATTACTTGTTGAGTGTTCTATTCTGGAACAAATACATATTTTTAACGCTTATATCTTATTTACAACATTGCATAACCATTTAACATTTAAAGAACACACACGATGAAAATAATCTATTATAATAAAAATATTGTTTGCTCTTTGTATTGTGTTTAAATTAATTAAATAACCAGCCATCTTGTTTAATACCCTTTGTCTTGAAATGGGGGTGCGGTCCCCTGGTCGAAGCTGCATCGCGGCCATCGTTCGTTAAGGGTCGTGGCTTTTTTCCTTAGAACTCATCCTTAACTTAATTTCCAATACTTCTCCTTTTAGTAAATATAAATACA